GCTCAACCTTAGGGAGCACTTGCTCCAACCCCCTCGTGTCCCACACAGGGAAACTGAGGCCCAGAGAGAAGAGACTTGGCCAAAGTCGCACAGCTAGAGGCAGAACCAGGCCCTGGACCTGGGGCTCCTGATCATCTCTCCAGTGCCTCTTCTGAGGGGCCACAGTCTGCCGAGAGACACTGAGTTCTACATTCACTCGTTCAGCAGCACTTTTTGTGTGCTGGACCCTTATTGGGCATGTGGCATGGATGGTACTGGTACCTGCCTTGATGAGACCCTGTAAGATGCTTTCGTATCCTGCTTTGCACACAGCACTGCATGCAGAGTGGTTGTTCATGGTGTGTTGGTTGACTGACCAGTGACCTGCTGGTGTGGGGCCAGTTCTCAGACCTCCAAATCCAACACCAAATCCAACACGCTCCTCTCTCCCCTGATCCCCTCATCTGCCATCTCATTCCTGTGCCCTGCACCAGGGACCAGCCATGTCACATGGCTTCCAGCTGGGAAAGCTCACTGTCGAGAAAGAAGTGCCCGTCCTCATGAGCTCAGCCCCCTGAGTGAAAGGAAAGGGCCGCGGGTCTGGCCTGGGGTCCTCGGCCCCCACGAAGGTCCCCAGTCAGGCTAATGCTTTCCCAGCACCATCCTCCCAGACTTCTTGGTACCCTGATGGTCTGAGACCAACTCTCTTCCTGCTGCCACTGCTAATGACATTACATTATCTTAATAAGGTCCCCAGAGTTGCCAGGAGTGGGAGGACTAAAAGGAAAATACAGAACGAAAAAGAAGCCAGGCTCCTGGTCTTGTTAGGAGAGCAGACGGCTGCCGGCTGTAGAAGCGATCAGCATTTGGCTTGCACTGGAGGCGGGTGTTGGAAACTAGCAGTTACAGCCTTTAGGGGATGTTGGTGGGGAACCCAGTGGAAACTGGTGAGATAATGGATTGCCAGAGTGACTTCTCAGGGTGCAGAGGTTGCCATCTTTTCCCAGGGACGGGATGGGACCTCTGTTATTTGGCGGCTGGTCCCTTCTCAAGTCCTACAGTTTCATGCCTTTATTTACCTGCCCCACCAGACATGGCTGGAGCACCCCTGAGAGCCCGCAGGCTGCAGGTGGGCTGCAGGGGGCTACACGAGGGAAGGCTGCCCAGCCATGCTCTCTAGGAGCGCTACCAACATGACGCCTGTACTCAAGGACCAATGTGGCAGGAATTAAGAGTCTTCTGAGGCCTTCAGGGCCCAGGGCCAGGCCCATTTGGCAGTGATGAGGGCTGCGGTTGGGGCAACCAGGGGAGCCACCTGTGGTTTGTGTGGGCAGGGAAAATGCCCACCGAGTGCAGCAGCATCCCTCTGCACCTAGGTGGTACAAACACCTTCTCATCTGCCTGGGCTCATTTGCTCCCCATTCATCAAGGCCCATCCTAGGGACCACATTTGGCAGAACCCTAGTGCCCTGACCTTTGGCCCTGCTTCTAGACCTTCTGGGAATAGAAGGTAAAGGACTCCTGATGAGGAGGGTCTGGGGGACTCTTGGCCAGACTGCCTCGGCCCTATGTCCCATTCCTCTTTCCCAAGCTGGAGCCAGTGGGACTGGTTGTGGCAGGAGCTGTCTCTCTGTGCCCAGCACAGGCACCAGCCTTTCTCAGGAAGAAAATGGTGACCTCGGACCAGGCCAGGGGAGTGTAAACATAGAGTCAGGCACAGGCAGAGGGCCTGATTGCTCTGAGTGATTATGCAGTGACCAGGGCTAGGAGGGGACAGCACAGGGCCATAGAAACACAGCCTGCTTGAAGCCTTGGAGTCTCCGCTTGGGGCTCCAGGGCTGACTCATACATGGAACAATCAATGAGTGCTGGGACAGCCGGTGGCACGGCTGAAACCTAGAGCCGACTCAGAGGTGAGGGTCCTGACACCAAGGAACAGACTGCTTTGTGGGGGCGGGGAGGCCTTGGCCCTAGTCTTGTGGAACCGTAGAAGGAAAGCAGCAGGTGGGCTGTAGGGGCAGAGGGGCTCTGTTGGAAGGACCCCC